TGCAGCGTTCACAGGCAAACTGCCACCGTGTCCAGCCTTGCTGAGAGCAGAGTTGGAAGTGATTGAATGTTTTATCAGTGTACCTTCCAAGCATTTAAATAGTTCTTTATGCTATTAGTATAAATTAATTACACTAGTAGCAATAGTAATAATTTATTATTTACTGTAGTAAATTATTTGTAAAGCTAGAGAAATATTAGGGTGAAATTAATGAGGTTTCATAATTAACAGGGATAAATTCTAGCAATATTTAAAAAAAAAGTTAATTTTGTTCACTCACAGATTTCCTTAATATTCTAGTCCTGCAGAAAAAAGTACACTTATTTTCTTTTTAAGAAATCTTTCTTTTTTCATAAAGTTTGCGAAACTCAGGAGCTGTCCTTTCCTGCAAGCTTGTATCCCAGTCTTAGTCTGGTAATTTCAGTTTGGCTTTTTTTGCAAAGGTCTTTATATGGTGTATGTTTGATCATAATTACAAAGTGCTTTTCACTGTCTTATATTTGACATTGTGTGTATATTTATATCTTGTATGTATGCACATCTATCTTATATGGAATTGGAGTTTGTGTAGTTTAGACTTTAAACCAGTGTTATAGTTTAAAGCTTTATGCCTATCTTAAACTACGAAGATGGGTTATTTGTCATGTTAGTTTGTCTGAAATATGCTGTGAAACTAGCATAAGGAAGATGCTAACTAACTCCTGAAGAAATTGTGTGATGTAATGCTAAAGCTGGCTTTTTGTGGATGGTGTTTAGGATTTCCTGAAGAAATTTTCATCGGATCAATTCAGGATGTTTTGTTTGCGCAGCAGATACAGCTCAGGTAAGGAAAACCGACCCCTCTATTTGCCGAGATACGCGTGGCTTTCCACGCGCGCTTCCCACGCTGGCGAGGCAGAGGTGCGGTGCTGGAGCGGGCTCTCCCTGCGGTGCCTTGCGGCTCCCCTCTGGCAGGAGGAAAGGCTGCTGGCGCTTTGTGGGGCTGCTCTTCGGCTCTGGTTTAGAAAAGCGTCTTTACAGTACTTAACCATTCATCTAAATACCTTCCTGAGCTGCAGTTAATTGCAACTCCCAATTAATTGCACTTTCAATTAATGAATTGCCTCCATCTCTGATTTGCATCTGTTGCAGTCGCTTGTATTTCAGTCACGATCAGCTGTTTTTGGAGACTTATCTAGCTTTGCCTTATATTCCCGTAGGGTATGACAGGGGCTTGCTAATAACTTTTTATCTCCCTGCTGTGTTATCATTTTTTGTCCCGTGGAGTTCCTGAGTGTTCAAGCAGTTCTGTGGTGCAGTGCAGCTCGCTTACACCGGCGCTTGATAACCTAATGGTCGTCTTAGCCTGGCAAACGCTGCTGGTGGGGAGAGGCGTGGGACATTTTGTCAGCTTCCCTGTCTACACCATGGTGTTTCCAGCAGGCAGGTGCTACTTTGAACTGGAAGAGGTTTTCATATGGGTAGTGTTTTTTACCAGTTTATTGGTGCCTGCCAAAAGCAGATGGTAGTTCCCTGACCACTGCTGGGTCATCTGGCTTGTTGGCCATCCTGGCATGGCGAGGGGATGGTGGAGCACAGGGAAACAGCTGCTGCGTGATTGCAGCGGGCCTCTAGCTGCCTCAGATAAAGCACCTCTAGCAGCGTGACCAGGAGAGCTGGTGCGGTGAAGGCTCTGTGGCTTTGCTGGTGTCTGTCAGCGTGCAATGCACTGCAGGCCTTCATAGACAACGCAGCCTTTGGGCTGAGGAGTCTTTTTGCTTATTAATACCTCTAGCTGCTTGCAGGAGCCACCCGTCTGATCTTCCTGGTGGAGCCTCCCTCTCCTAAGGCAGCTGAAGGCGTCGGGAATGCCATGTATTCCTGAAATATTTCGAAGCATGGGACAGTAAAGAGACTGCCGGTTATTAGCTGCCACCCTCCACCATGGTAGGAAGGGAGGAGCGGATTCAGGTGGGAGGTTTGCTGCAGAACAAGCCCCCCTTTGGAGCAGGAGAGGGGGCAGGCAGCGGGGAGCACTGCCACCATGGAGTGAGGCAGCGGGATGGTGGCACGCCTGCCTGTTTCGGGGTGATGCCGCAGGACAGTGGCACGCCTGGCTGTTTCCTCTGGGTCTCTGTCAGGAGATGAAATACTTCGTGTGCGCATAAATGGCTCCCCGGCTGCAACTGGGGGCACTTGGGAGTCTTGAACAAATGTGTATTTAAAACAAAAGAAGAAAAAAAGCTAACACCTATAATACTATTGTATTGCAAGGAATGGCGCTGGAGCCCTGCAGCGGAGGGCTGCCTGCACACCTTCTCCGCTGCGTGTCAGCTGGCTGCATTTGAACCTCTGCGAGAAGGACATGACCATTTTTTTTTGCCTTACTTCCAGGTTAAATACCTTCCTGTGATAAAAACAGAGGGCTCCCTGTGCAAATATAGGTCATTTTGATGAAAAGATATGGTGGTGTTATGTCAGAGTGTAGTGCCAGCAAGCCGCTTGGCAGATAAGGATTGCTCGAAGGTCTGCTGCGCTTGCCACCTCCACCGTATGAGGTATCACTGTCCGATAAAGAGCCAGAGTCAGTCCCTGCTGAGCCAGGTATTTACTATGCAGCCTGTCAGCTTGTGCCCCTGCTATCAATTCACTTTGGTCTAAAGATAAGTTTACTGCGCTCCTTCTTGTCTTGCTGTCTGCTTCCTAAGTATTTTTATTAGAAGTGAGATCCCAAGCACTTTCTGTTCATTCCTAAAAAGGTTTTCGTAGCCTAAACCCGTTGGCGATGATTCCTGCCATCCTGCCTGTAAAGGAGAGCCTTTTGTACTTGCTAAAATCCAGGTTTGAGGGGTTGGGTGATGTTAGCATGCTCGTTGAATTGAGCTCATAAAAGGTCTTTGTGGGCTTGCAGATGAGGGCAGCACCTGACAGCTGGGAATGGCTTGTGTTTGGTGCTGGGCTTTATGCGGATCTTGGGCTTGGAATGGGCTTTTTTTTTGTGGTCTGGGCTACCCCCTGCCTTCGTGTGTGCTGACAGGCACCTGGGGACCAACGTGACTCCAAACTGCCCCAATCACAGAGTGGCAAGGGCTGGAGGGGTGTGTGCAGGGAGGTGCATGTGTTTCGTGGGAGCGGGGGCCCCTTCCCGTGGTGGCCATTGTTGCAGGGAGGATAAAGCTGGAAGCCTTGCCTGTGAGGAACAGGAGAAAGCTCGGAGGGAAGAGGCTTTGGTGCAGGACATCACCCTTCCACAGCGTGTCTCTGCAGGGGGTCCCTCTGCTCCATAGCCCTCTCTGCCTGCCCAGGCTGGTGGGGCAGAGCTGCTCGGGGATAAGCTGAGCTCTGGGGGCAGTGGTGATGATCCTGGCTTTCTGCTTTGGCTGATGCCTCTGGCTGTCCCCTTCTTGGCCTGAATCACCACCCTTTGTCCCACCTGGGGCTCTTGGGAAAAGGTCTTTCCTAGGTGCCGTGGGCAGCAGCATGGTGCCCCACCACCGGCGTGCCCGCCAGGCTGCTTCTGGGTGCAGCTTAAAAGCAGTGCCGTCTCCAAAGCGCTGCGGGACCCTGTTGTGAGGTGCTGCTTTTCCTCTTGCATCTCATCAGCAGTGGCTTTACTTTAGTTAGGTGGAGGGGCTGTGAGCTTGCTGCAGGCAGCGGGGTTCTGTCCCCAAAACACTGTCCTGGTCACCAGAACCGGTCTGGTGATTTTGTGAACCTGTGTGAATTGTAACCTTTTGGTTCCTCTGGTCTTTCATTACTTGTTGGTGCTAATAAACACATGTTTTGTAATTTGATGATGTAGCAATGATGTCCTCAGTGGCAAAGGAGGGGAGGAGTAGGGAGTACGGTGAAGATTTATAGAGCCGGGCTTGCCTGTGCCGCGCTGCGTGTTTTGCAGTGCCTGCAGGCAGTGGTTTAGAAGAGTGCCGTGAATTGGGGAAGAAAAATGGCTTTAATCAAAGTGGGCTTCATCAGGGTAAACTTTCATCAAGTATTCCTCGCGGAGTTCCTGTAACCAGGGTAATCAGTTGAGTAATCTTAGTGGATATAAATAATCTCTTTCAATATCTCACTCTTTTCTAAAAGTCTGTACATAGGTCTTTTTAAAAGCTGAGTAAAGCCTAATTTTAAAACCAGTGTTGATGAGGCAGTAATGCAGATTTTTAATTACCTGCAAGTGGAAAATTTGACAAATACACGTCCAGACTTATGCCTTAGACTTTCCGTAGGATTTACCCCAGTATAACTGTTTAAACAGTTAGGCTTCTTTGGGATTTAGCCTAATGGAACCGAGATCAGGTCTTGCATCTGGCTGCTTCTGCCCTCTTAAATCTGTCCCCTTGCTCAGGCTGTCTGCTCTAAAGAGTCTGTGTCTGGGCAGTGTTGGGTAATTGCACAAAATAGTCAGCTGTAATGTGCGCAGGACCAGAGGTGAGGCTGCTGTGGAAACTACAGGTGATGCTCTGTGCTAATGAGATTAGGAATACGCTGCAAGCTGTAGTTTGGATGTATCTTGGTGCAGAGGTCAGACATAAAATGGTGAATCAGTATTGTGCTGGCTATGACTGGCTCTTTGATACAGGTAATCAACTCTGGCATGATACTGTGGGAAGGAATGCATTTAAACTTAAGGCTGTCCTTGGTGGACGCAACTTCCACCAAAGCTGGGTGAGCTGTCTCATGTGGGGTCCGAGTGCTCTTCTACAGAAAATTGTGTGTTCCTGTACAAAAAAAGGAAAATTGCCTCTTGCTGATGGTAGCTCGCAGTAAAAGTGCCGGGGGGCCAGTCCAGCACCTGCTCTTCTGAGAGCGTAGGCAAGGCGAGCGGAGCCTGCTTAACCCTAAGCCCGCAGAGGCGAACGCTGGTGGTTCCCGAAGTGCAGTTGTCTGCCGGAGCTAGAGTCCCGCTGAATGCGGTGGGGGTGTCCGTGTGCATGGATGCCATGTTAGTGGGGGGGGCTAATGGCGTCTTGCCAGCTGGTGGGAGAGAAGCACTGCAGGGTTAGGGTATAGCAGATCTCATCATAAAGTAGAGCTCTGCTTAGGATGTGATGGATCATTTACCTGAAGGCTTTGTCTTTCTTTCCAGTGACTATAAAGAGGCTTAGATGTTAGTGTGTAAGTTGGATGAGATGAATCCCGTCCCAGACATGCCCTTATGACTTTAAGCAATTTGTATTTTCTCTGATAGTTGCCTTCAAAAATTGATATGGCCAGTTTATCTTTGATATTGTGAGGCAATTGTATATTTCGTGCAGAATCTAGACTGCAAAATTTTAGGTCCATCTAGATTTTAGACGCTGGTGAAGCAGCCCTTTAACTATAAGTGCCTTTATTTCTCACAGAGTCAGTGGTGAGGATTAGGTCTCTTTGGAGCTCTACAAAGACAGGTCGTGCCTACCTAAGTTAGAATAGGAACAAAATTAGGGGTGAGATCAAAGGTATGTCTTGCCAAATTAAGTCTGGGGGGATGCTTAGAAATATATCCAATCCAAATGCTTTGGAGTAATAATTTCACAGAGAGATTCAATAATGAAAAGAAAATTTAAAATCAAGTAGCTATTGCTTCAGTCAGCTTCCAGACACTTTTTGAATCAGTCTGATACTTTTCTAGTAGGTTATACTTTGTCATATGTAATGAATATCTTTTATGTTGATATAATTCACCTAGCGTGCATGAAGAACGGAGTTCTTAGTTAAATATGCAATTAATTGTAAGAAAAGTTTGCTGTGACAAATAATAACAAAGTTTGCCTGGAATGACATTGTCTCAGAATATTGTTCCTATGTATGACAGACAGCATCCTCTGTATCATAATGCCCAAATATATATTTTTTTTTTTCTTAGCAGTAGAATTTAGTGATGAGAGCATGGATGATGCAAAGCACCTTCTTCAGGCGGTCTCCTCATTTATTATGGATGCAAATGCATATATAAAAGGACAGCTGGTATGTGACCCCGTTAGAGAAGACATACTGTGGGAAAGGTAAGTGTACCTCCTGTGTCTTAAAGATTGTGATTATGTGAGCAATAGTTTGCTGACAGGCTCAGAGGACTAAATACTGCATTGTGCTGAGTTCTGTTTAAGCAGCAGGACAAGAAGGACTGAGAAGCAGTCTTCCCTGCCAACCCTCACCAAGGGCAGCTTTTTCTAATTCTTGTTGTAGCCAGCTGCTTTTCCTCAGTCTGCTACACTTAGTTCATTGTATTTTAAAAATCCATGTTATTTATCCACTGTGCCTGTCCCAACACTTGCATCTTTGCCCCTCTTGAGTGATGTAGAAGGCAAAGCTATGGCTGCAGTTGTGAGGCTACCCAGTTCATAAGTAGAGCTGTTCATTAGCGACTGAAGAAGAAAGAGGACGACTGGAAAGTAATACGCCTTGGGCACGTGAGCTTGTAATCAAGCTGGCTGGCACTGTGGCGTGCAGCAGAGGAGATAAGGGGTTACTGGCCAGGGGCAGAGATGTCACAGGGAAAGAAGAAATTACGGCTGTTGTGACCCTGACACTGATGAGGAGAATCTTCTTTGGAGTCCCTTGGGAAAACCAGATCATCTCCCAGGAGAGAGACGCGCTGTGTGTTGGGTGCAAAGCTGAGAAGATGAGTGCAATGCTCTGGAGTTGGGGTAGGAGGGGCATTTTGAGCACCCTGAAGCGACGTACGTGCAGGCAGCTCTGGGACGTAAGACCAGAGGGGAAATGGCCTGTGTTGTAGAAGCGAGAGGCAGCTGCCTTGTGGTGCAGGCACCTCGCTGTCAGGAAGCTTGTGGCCGCACCGACTAAGGCTTGCAAGGGGCACTGGGATGTGTTACAGGAAAGGGGAGCTGAACTAAGTAGTTGAGATATTTGGCAAAAGGGAGTCCTTTGGTAGGAGGCTGCAGAAGACCTGTTGGTGAGAGATAAGGCTGAGAGGCGCGAGGCACGTGGGCAAGTTGAAATGGATTGTCAGTGGGGGACATGTGGGAGGGCACAACTTGTGTATCACTAGATGTAAAAACAGCCAAGATGAAACAGAGCTCTTAATTAGGAAAGTGGTAGATATTCAGCAGCGAGGGGGAAGCTTGCAGGGAAGAGTGTTGCGAGGAATGGGTTAGGGCAGCAGCCATCTGATATCTGAGGAGAGGCAGGCATTCCAGGCAAAACCACTCAGAAGCAGGCGCAGCTGGGTTGAGGAGAGCCCCAGAAGCACTAGGATAGCTTGAGGTTCCCCAGGCAACCCAGCTCCCTCAGCTTTAGCGTGAAACGGCATCCTCGGGCCGGCGCTGTCGAGGTCCGGTTCGCCGGGCTGTGTGCAGGAGCGCGCTGCCGGCAGCTGCTTGCAGCTCGCCACTTATTTCCGCCGCTGTCCTCATCCTCCTGCTCAAAGCGGCTGGAGCGGGCGGCGCTGGTCCTGCTACTATGAGTGCTGGCTGCCCGATGGCTTCTGGCGCCATTACACGAACGGTCCCACCAGACCTTTCTGCCTCGGCCAGGCCAAGTGGAGGCCCAGGGCTGGGATTGAGCTTGCCTGGGAAATGAGGAAGCGGCGCCCGCTTCCGAGCCGGGTTCTGCCAGCAGGACGCCTGGCCGACCCCGAGTCAGCTCTCTTGCCAGGCACTGGAGTGATGCGTGTGACGTGGCTGTGGAAGAGAAGCATGCCGTTAGCATGAAAAACGGGCTGCTGGAAAAAAAAAAAAAAAAAAAGACTTAGCAAACTCTTTAATGTGCTTAATATCAACCTCATTTTCCATCTGTTTTTAAATGATTAAGGCAAGCCTTTCTCTGCCGTTGTTGGTTCCTGTGATTAACTGTGTATTTATTGAACGGATGTAGCACTCTGGATTTTGACAGGCGTCAAGTTCTTCCCTTCGCGGCTGAAAGATGTATTCTCCCTGATCAGCGTAGCATTGCCCATCACAGGACAGCTAGGAAGGAAACGACAGTGTCCTTTTGATGACTCCCTCTGGCTGAATAGCTGATGAATTCAGCGTACTGCTGGCATCTTGTTTGTCTTATCTTAAATGTTACCTTTTCTTCTTGAAGGCTAGCCAACACAAAAGTAACCGTGAAGGCTGCGTTTGCAGATGACTTTGACACCTCCAGGGCTGTTGCAGCAATTATGGACCTCATTCACCATGGCAACAGACAGCTTAAGGCTGTTACTAAGGTAACCCGTTAGGATACAGAGATCAGAAAATGACAGCTGTCCACTGTCCTACTGTTTAATGCAGACAGATTAGTTTATTGTTCCCATAAGAAACCAGCAGAAAGAAAGCTCCATAAATTGTTGACCTTAATGGTGCCCATTTGTCCTGACCGTATCGCAGGAATTGCGTATGGCTATTGTTTTGTGCTTCGCTGTGTCCAAAGGATGTTTCTTTCCTGCTGCCCTATATTATTTATACCTAAGGTTTTTGAAAGGCCTGAAGCCATTGTGGCATGCTGCTAATTTTAGTGCTGGTTTTATGTTCTTACCCTGCTTCTTTGCTTAATACCCATGCACAGAAATCAACCTAAATTGGGAAATGGGGGGTGGTGGCTGCTGCGGGGGCTTTAGCAGGCGGTCCCGGGTGCGTGGGGCAGTCATGGTGGTGAGTTCAGCTTTGCAGACCGAGTGGCTTCTGCTGTCGGCAAATTGTAACTGTGGCCTCAGCGTGTCTGCGTGAGTCCGTCTTCAGATGGCTTTTGGCAAATTGAGACCCTGTTAAGATCTCTCGATGCTGACGCAAAGGAAGCGTCTGGTAAGGAGCAGACCTGAGCAATAGAGTCTGAAGCACTTCTGGCTCTCCGTGTACCAGCAGCTCCCTTTGTTGCTCAAGGTGAGCAGCTCAGCCTTGTTGCTGTGCTCCGTGATTGCTGGTGTCATCATGTCCACCATTTTACTGCTGTGAAAGAGATGTTGAGTATATAGTAATAAATGAACTGGCTCATTGGTTTAGAAGTCCTCCCTCCCCCTGGTCTTGAGCTGGTGCTGGTTTTAAATTCTGTCCTTAGCCTTACCTTTTCCTTTGCTTTACAAAATGACTCTCTGAGCGAATCCCCAACTTGAGCCAGTTTGCAGCAGCGATCTGTAACAGCATTACCACTCCTTAAATACAAGTAGCCTCATTTTGCCAGTTGTTGCTTGTTTTCCCCGCATTCCTTCTGTCACTCACTTTGCTACAAATTGGGTGGGATATTTGTGGGGCAGCTGACGTGGATTTCTGGTTGCGGTGGTGGAGCTTTTCTGGGTGCATCCCAGCTGCCTGAGCGTTACCTCCTACTGACTGTGCATGTACTTTTTCTCCGTAAGAGTTGTGAGTAAATTCACATAAACATTAACTACTCATTCCTCTCTTTAGTCTTCTCGCCATTTTTACCTTAGTGGGCACGTTCCCGTTTCTTTCCCTCAGCGGTCCACTTCAGCTCCTTCCAGTTCAGATCCTTTGCAAATTTTAGGTATGACTTGTCTCGGCCCCTAATGGAGATGTCGGATAAAATCCAGTACCAGCTGCTAATTTGGTTGTGTATGTCACTGCTCTTTTTTTTGTTTGTTTGTTTTTTAGGCAAGTGTTAGTCCCTTGAACTGCTTCTCAGCCTATCATTTAATCTTGATTTTATTTTTCTTTTTTGTTGTGACATAAATATGGAGGAAAGAAATAAATACATGTGTTCTTAAAAATGCCATTCTATCACTGCTGCTGGTGGTTGCTGGTGCTGCTGAGGCATGACAAACTGCCACAAGCTATCTCAAAAGCAGTCTTCACGTTGTTTAAATCAATAAGACACTCAAAAAAGGGTTTGGTTTTTTTTTTAATCATTTATTTTATAGGTGCCCTTGACGCTGGGATTTTGTTCCTTTGTTTTCATACACACAGTCCTTTTATGCCCAGAAGTGCTATATTTAGGTCTAATTTACTGCACACATGTAATGCACGACAGCTTCACGCACCTTTTCCTCGCTGCGCATGATGGTAATAAGCTCTTCCCCTCCCCCATTTACTTAAACCTTTTCCCTTTGTGTTGTGAGGTGCTTTTATATCTCTCTGAAAGTTCCCATCTGGGCAGGTGTTACTGGTGGAGGTAGATCTATATAATTAGTCATAGTTTTCCCTTGTGGACCTAGGCTACAGAGAGATGCTGAGTTCTGTAATATGTATTGACTGGACAATCTCTTTTGAGTGTTTTTTTTTTAAACAGGATGCTGGATGTCCTAGAAGCTCTGTTGTGTATGGAAGCATTATTTCCTATATAGAAGGCTTTTTTAATGCCCTTGGGATGTCCTTTGGAGAAAGACAGGTACGAAACATCTTTTCTATGTGTAGTGATGTACAGTAGCAGTGCCAGCGTTATGTTCTATAGAACACTTTCCAGAAGTGTCAGATGTAACAAAGTTATTTACAGTTTTAGTAAACCTTTCTGCGCTGTTTGCAGTTTCTACTGTGATGTCTTAGGAGAGCGTGTGAGCAGGCAGAACAGGAGAAAGCAAAGTGTGGGCTTTTTTTCTTCTCTGAGATGCTCCCGTGTCACTTCTGCAGCAGTTGTGCTGTGGAGATGGAAGTCTGAGGAATGAAACGAGAAAAAGTTAGCATTGGAGGCCTCTTCAGCTGGTCCTGTTCTGTGTCTGGCTTTTTTCCGGCTCTTCCTCTTCTTTCTGATGGTCGCACCCAGGCTGACTTCGATAGCCTGACGAGTATTTGTGGTTTTGATCTCTCTGCACAGCGGGAGCCAGGGTCCAGCTCCTCCGTAGAAAGCCAGGGTACGGGGAAAGGGGCCGCTCTGCCTTGAGACGCGGTAGGATGCGGGGAGGGGAGGGTGGCGTGGAGGTCCTTGGTCATTGGAAATACCTTATATATCCTCTAGTACTTGGAGAGGCAGGAGTGGGGAGGGGGAAAAAAAAGGAGATAAAAGCGCAAAGTGAAGTACTGCACAGGGAAGAAAGAAATAAATGTGATGGTGACATCCTGATGTATTGTAAATGTATATGTATATGTAAAGGGGTCATTTAAAATGACGCAAGGTGTTGGAGACCAGCAGGCTGTTCTGTGCTCCTCACCTGCTCAAATCTGGAGCTGAACACCAAGAAGTTGAAAACTTTCTTTAGAGAAACTGTTCTGCAAAAATTTATTTTGGGGAGGGGGAGAAGAGGATAAGAAAATGTAAATAACCTTATTAATCCTTTGAAAGTCAGGCAGTATAGCAATAAATTCGTATATTTACTTTGCCTCTTTGTGGATTTTTCCACAAAGCTTCTTTCAAAACAGCGGTTGGATGTGATTTGGCTGTGTGTTATTCCTGATAACCCATGGTTTGTCACGGTCATTTTTAGTGGCATACTAAACACATATATTTGTTAGTTGGATGTCAAAGTCATTCCTCCAGATTCTGGGCTGTCTGTATGCAGGTGCCTGCTGCATCTTTATTTTTGCTGAAACAAGTGTCTGAATGCTTTTGGTTTTTGCATGCTGTGCTAGTTTCTCTGCGGCAGCAGGGTCAGCAGAAGACGTTGACGGGAGGTAGGCAGGAAGGAAGGAGCAGCTCGTCAGACCCTTCTCTGTCCCTCTGCTCTTTCCTTTCAGCTTCCAGTAAATGAATCAATCAAAATCTTCATCAGAAGGATCTGTGGGCTGCCACAAGCGAGTAAATAAAATGGTGCAGGGGTTGTTCTCTGACCTGGAGACCAGCCACAACAGCTCAGTGTCCAACCTTTCTTGCCCCTTAGACAGGAGGCCCCAGGAGCAGTCCCTGAGCACCGCAGGCCCCGGCACGTGGGCTGCCTGGGAGAGGGCTAGCTGGCCTGGCTGCCGCTGTGCTAGCGATTGAACGTAGAGGCTACGGGGAGCAGCGTTCGGGCCCTCTTCATTTGGATGTTTGCATATAGCCTGTGGGTCTCTCTTGGTCTTGGGATGGGATTCATCTCGCCTAATTACCCTTACAGTCTAATGTAGCTGCCTGTGCTTCTGCAGTAGTCGATGGAGAGAGAAAGGCACCGCTAAGGGATGGTTCTTCTTAATCTGGTGGTTGTATAAATTAATAAGACTGCCTGTCTCTCTCTCTCTCTCTGCATTGGGAAGAGAAGGAGCCTGGACAGCCACAGGCAGGTCACGAAATTTCTAGAAGACGTTGCTAACCAGACAGAAGTCTAGGGAAATGTTTCTCTCTTAGGCAGCCTTGCCACTTACTGCTGGGGAGTCTAGCCAGTGGGTGGAAGCCATGGTGCCCCTTCAGAGCTGAGGAGCAAAGGTGAGGGCTTTCTGCTGAGGAGTGCTGTATTGCAGGTGTGGCCAGGGGCAAACAGGTGATCATCTGTGGGGTAGGCAAGGGCCAAACTTCCACATAAAACTTCTTACGAGCCTTTTGGATGGCTTGGTACTGCAGAAGAAGAAATCAGAGATCAGCCCTGAGAGGCTACACATTGTTTTACATGGCGATTGGATCGGTTCATCTCCAAAAGCTGCCCCTCCTTTTAGAGGATCTTGCCTTTGTGTCATGAGTACATGCCTGGTTTGAACTTTGGCAGTGGTGTCTGTAGACGCGTTTCTTGCTCTCCTTATCATTCGTCTTTCCTCTCCCTTCTGTATTTAAGCATTTATCCTGCTCTTTTCCCTGCCCCAGGTTACGATGGAGCATTTCTGGCACTTGGATTTGTTACCTTCTTCAGTCTCATAAGCTACTTCTTTAGTATGTTTACATGTTTTGAAAGTTTGGGGAATTTGCTACCTTTTATGATTGCAGAGAGCATCTTGCACTCTCGCCCTTTGATAGCTTCCCTCTCACCTCCTTCTCCTCCTCTTTGTTTGTTTGCTTCAGCCAGGGACCTCTGAAACGACTCCCTTTCATTTCCATCCTGCTGCTTGGTGACTAAATACAGTCCCCTCTGGCTTTAATTACTCAGCTGCTCTTCTGCTCCCAGTCGAGCATCGCTGCCAGCGACTTTGCCCCCCGGCCTTGGTGTGCTTTGTATCTCACTGCTCTGTTGTTTGCTCCTCTCGTGTGTCTTAGTGATAAAATACTGTGGCGGCATTTTCTTGCTTGTTGGATGCTTGTCCTTTTCCTCCCCCTTACGAGTTTGCCTCTAATGAGAAACAGGGATGGTTCCTCTGCTGAGAGCGAGACTGGGAGCCCGGCTGTGCCAGCATCGAGGAGAGCCTTTCTCTTCTGCTAGCAGCTGAGCTCCTGTCCCAGCAGCCATCGGAGCGGGACCCTCTAGGAGGAGGGAGGCCGTTCCCTCCCCGTGGTGTTGACCGGCGAGGCTTCTGCCAAGCCAGAGGAGGCCGAGGAAGCTTGGAGCTAGCTGGAGGGAGGAGGGGGCCAGGCAGCAGCCAGAAAACATACGCTGTGTGCAGTGGCCGCTGCTCGGTCAGGTCTTGTTGAGTGGCTGAAACTGGATGAGGTGGATCAGATAAAAGTTCTGCGGATTAGGGGAGGTGCAAGGAGAAAGGGTAGTCTAGAGACTTAAAGCCACAATACCTGATTTTCCTGGTTTGTGATTCTTGAAGAGGGTCTGGAGCTCCAAGGCAGAGTAAGGGGCTGGCGTGCTCTCTAGCTCTGCAGACATTTACAGCCGAGGGACTGTCTGAGCCGGCAGCTGGGCTTCCCTTGCTGTGTCGGATGGCTGTTGCCAGGCCTTTCTTCCATTAATTTGTCTAATCCCTTTTTAATTTATGCACGCTTCTGGCATCTGGGAGGTTTCCTGTGGTGATGAGTTCCACAGTTGGGTTATGCAGCATGTTATGTTCACGTAAGAGCCCTCTGCTCCAAGATAGACGCTGTCCTGTATAGGAATACACTGAACTGCTTCCAAGTATGCCTGTACTGTAACTTTTGTCCAGCATTAGTGAGATTGCGATGTTCTCATCGTACCAGTACAATGGAAGATGCACAACCAAGAGAGATGATGAGGCCTCAGGGTATGCTACTGAGTTGGGGTTGATTTTTTTTTTTTTTAAGGAAAAAAAAAAAATAATTCCCAGATGTTTGTAAAGCAACCTGTTTGATTTCTAGGTGGCTCTGGGAGGAGGCGACTCAGCTGTGCTCTCTAATGTCATTGATGAGCTTGTAAGGTTCCGCGCGAAGGTCCGTCATTACGCGCTTGCTCTGCCAGAAGAAGCAGCAGAAGCTGTGCCAATGGAGGGTGCCGCGGCAGCCAAAGGACCGAAACAAGAACAGAAGGAAAAGAGGCAGCAGTTAATGCAGGAGAGAAAACCCCTCCTGGAGGCTTGTGACAGTCTGCGTGGAGACCTTGCTGCCTTTGGAATCCACATAAAGGTAGAAGACAATGACCCTCTTTGTGAGACTGTTAAGTCATTTTTTAAGACTGCATTTATTTTTGCCCTTTGTGCCCCTTCGGCGGCCTTCAGTGTTGTGCCCTGCTCCCTGTACGACTGCAGTAGCAGGAGGCGGAAGTTAAGCCCTTGCCTGGTTGTACTGCTAGCTTTGCCTTCTGCTCCCCTTCAACCTTGTGTCTCCACACAAGCCGTACCTACTTCTGCAGTTACTAAGGGTGTGTTATTTAGCCACTGAAAATCCTGTAATATTCAGAAATTCCTAAGTTGCCCAAATTCAATCCACAAGGAAAGGTATGAGTAATGTGTGCAATCTTTAAAAAATTATGATTGCAGAGGAACTGAAAAGTAAACTGAGATGACTTAGGAAAACAATGCCTTCCCTTTACCCTCCCCACATTCCCCCCACCAAAAATGGTAAGTCCTCACCAGAAAGCTGCTTCCGTCTTCAGCAGCTCCATTCCCAACTGTTCCTGAGCTGTAAGTGCTTTGCCCAATTCCTGTACCACTCCTCTCTCTGCCCTGCTTTCTACTTTGAGCCTGTACCTAATGCCACTGTTCTTTTCCCTTCTGTTACCCCAATGGTGTCTTCTGCTCAAGAGAAGTCCCTTCACTGGCCTACTGTCTCCTCCTGGTTTCAAGGTGCTACGTTACTTCAAGGGCTGCTACTGCTTCTTTCAGTTCCTCTTTGCTTCACAGCCCTTCTCACCTCAGCCCCACCCCTCACTGGGAGCCAGCAACACTGGCTCCTTACGTGCAGAATAATCCTCCACTTTCTCTCCAGCGTCTTTCTCCCTCCCTCCAGTTCACGCTGCTCATTTTTTCCCTCACTCAGGAACTGAGCCTTGCATAGTCTCCTTGCATTGTTTTACCAATGGGAGGATATAAAGCACAATGACATTAGGGAGTGACAGCATACATCCTCTTTAACTGCTGAACGTGAGAGCTGTCATTTGTAAACACACCTATGAAAACCAAACGCGAAGCGTGGTCAGGTGTCTCACGATCTCAGATGAAAGTGAGCGTGCCGATACAAACCGGGGTGAGGGCCAAAGCGCAGTGGTGGTGAGCTACAGCTGGGAAAGCGAAGGAAGACTGTGGGGAAGTTGGAACACCTGCTTCCTTAACTTGTTTGTACATAGCTAAATCCTCGCTCCACTTATCTGTCGAGAAAGTTTGCAAATCCAAACAACTGCACTGAGACAAAGTCTTGGAGAAGATGACTCTGTTTTGATCTCCTTGGCAAAACGGCCGCAGCCCCATCCCCACCCTTTTGAAGATTTGTTTTGGGTTGTTTTTAAAGGGATTTACGGACATTTAGTAACATCCTAGAAATTGGCCATGGATTCAATGGCCAATGGATTCAGCCCATTCCATTTATTTCAAGTGGATTGTTTTTTTGGTTTTCTTTTTTTAATAACCTGAAGCTCAGCATAATCTGTCGCCTGCTTGTCCCAGAATAGTTTGCTCCCAAAGACGAAGCACACGTGCACATATGAGCACACACAGCACACGTCCAAGGCAGAACTCCTGCTTTTTTTGCTGCTTAATGAGTGGAAATATCTGAAGGCGTGCTGTGAAGGGTGCCCAGCTCTTGCCTTTCTGGGCCCCGCAAACAGAGCAATGCAGCTCCACAGTTCCTCGCGTGCGTTTCCAGAGCAAGCACACGATGAGACATGGCCCGACGTGAAGCAGGGCTCTCGCCACCCTCGTGCTCAGCACGAGTCTGCGTGGCTGGGTTGGTTGGCCACCCTGGCTTGGCTATTGCTAAAAATGCCATGGTAACACAGCGCCTAGCAGCTGGGTCCTGCATGCCTAGTAAGTGCTTGAGGAAGTAATCTGAATTTTTCTTTTCTACCCAGCCTCTTGATTTCCATGAAACTTCTGTAGAAGAGCCCCATGATACACACGCAGTAATGCTTCTGTTAACACGCTCTCCCTCCGTCACCTGCAGCTTCTCAAGTCCACGTGCAGGAGGAAAAGCAACAGAACAGATGAGGCCAATGAGCCTCATCTCTGCCCACTGCAGAATAGGAACCCCTGGTTTGGAGCTGGGCAGGGAGGGGTTGGCCGCTCTAGCATGCAAGTAGCAACTTAAGAGAATGCTAGTAACTTAATTCCCTTAAAAATCAGCTTTGTAGAAAGGGTAATTTCTCCTTCAGCTTGTAAGTTTGTGATTTCTGTACACTGGTTTCTTCTCTCATGCTGCTCAATATATCCACCAGACTTTTCATGTTGTAGTGTGCTTGAAACGCAAACTCTGTCTGTGCTACTAAGTGAAATGTAGTAATTAGGTACTTGGGCATCAAAGAGTTTCCCCTTTAATGTAAAGAAAATTCTACATTGTATTCCAGCCTCTCTCATGAGTCAGAGCTCATGTGACATCATTGTCATGTTTCAATATCCAGATTAACTTTTATTTTCAACAGTTGCAGTCAAACAGCTAGATCTTAACAGTCAGAAATGCTCAGTTTAGCTGTAATATTCTCTTTCAAAAATATGACAGTATTGCATTACAGATATTTACAGCAACAGGCTACTATCCTAAAATTCAGGAGATCAAATACATTAGGCAATATATTCTCATGTATTGGCTGTAAGAGCTGTCTTCCACGTACATGAGCCATTTAAACATGAAAATGTGATTGCCCGAGTTTAACAGAAGTTATTCGTATGAGAGAGACTATACACCTCTGCAGCATCTCATGCTGAAGAGGTGACATTTCTATTGTGGGTGCTTTTTTTTTTTTTTTTCCCTTCTTAACTGGGAATTATTGTCTGGGTTTGTTTTACAACTTCGAGCATTATTAGTAACAGTGGCACGCCTGTCAGATGGTATCACCACCTCTTTTACCGAACTGGATTAATAGCTTTCCTGTATGAAACTTGGTTAAAACCCTGTGCTTCCAACTACCTCCAGGTGTACGATACCTGCGTGACCCAGGCTGCTGGGATTGACCCGCTTGCTTCTTCTTACAGGACAGAGCTGCTGGATCAACCTGGGAGATTGCAGAAGGAGGGCAAGCAGCGCAGCAGCCTGAGAAAAAAAGCTGATCCTTCATCCTTGGACTTGTGGGTTTTTTTTTACTTCAGCTGCTTTGGCAACAGTTGTAAATACTAATACTTTCCAAATAAAATCTTTGGAACGGAATGGCTAACAAAGATACAATATAATGGGAGCAAAACTGTTGCTGCTACCACTAGGTAAGTAAATACAGGACTGGCGACAGGTGTGGAGGCAGCGCAGGTGGTGGAAGCATCCAGAACGCACGGCGGCGGCTGTGCTGTCCGACACAGGCCTCCGAATGTTCTGATGCAGGAGCTGCCCCGGCCCCAATTGCTGCTACGTGATCTGCGCTCGCACCCTGTTTTGCTGAGCTGGCACTGGGATATAAAATGTAGTGAAGACAGAGGCAAGAACTTAGGCCTGTCTTCAAGGGTGAAAACACTTCGTTTTATGGCCACTGGTTTAAACAATTGTGTTCCTCTCGGGCAGAGAAGGAGGGGATGCTTTTGAAGTGTTTCCTTATTGCAGTGTCGCTGGTTTGGTCCTGTGAAATCTCTAACCGTAATATGATGTATCTGGTTATCTGTAGGGCTGGCTGTCGTCTTTTCAGTTTGCTTTTGCACAGAATACATGCACTGGAGTGCAGCATGCTCAGGAGTTTTCCATCAGAATCAGGAAGATAAAATTAGTATGTTATTACCCATAAATTTACCTATTTTCTTTTGCCATTTTTGCAGCAAATCCCCTGGATGGTGTGGCTGGAGGTGGATGCAGAGAGGCCTGCCTTACACATGAGGTGACCTGTGTTCTAGTGGCTCAGTTTACACGGGGCTTGTACTTACCTGCTGGCATACTTTCTTTAAATCAATTTATGAAAAAATACCACAAATAAGAACATGGGTTAATCTAGAAAGAATTTCATTTGAAAATACAACTCACACAAGTAATCTGTTCAAGAGGATCAAGGCTTTCTTTTAGATTGTTGAGAATAAAACGCGTAGCTGTTGTTCTGCTCCCTCTCCGGTTATCGACACTCTGGAGAAGATGGGGGGGTGTCCTCATTAGCACTGTGGCAGATGCTTATCTGATGCTGTTGGTATTTTAAATTTGCTAGTGGCTGTATTGCTCCAGTAAACTAGAATGAACAGCGAACAGTCAGCTCGGCTTCTGTGGGAAATGTGATCAGAACACACCAAACAAAGTACACACAACAACTGATTTGCTATTGTTTTTATTTCCTACCAAAAGAAAGGGCTACATTTCCAGAATGTTTAAAAATTGTAACAATTTGTGTACATTAGTGAATAACAGTTATACAACTTCTGTGTAGATTTAAAACCAACACGTCAGGTTGAAATCTGTACCGAGCTCTGTTAATTGATTGACTTCGCCTACAAATGCCATTTTGATTATAATACCACTGATGTTCTAAATACGAAAAAAAAAAAAAGGCTCATTTTAAAGGAAATCCAGTAGCTGTTTTAAAATCAGTTTTAACTTTCTGATTCTATTTAAAAGGAGTTGGGCTTCTGAAATAGTTTTAGGGGGAAAAACAGCAGTAGCTTAGTTTCCCCAAAGATGTAGACAGTTTACAAAACTGCTTAAATTAAACACGAAAAACCCCATCTCTTATGAGTAGACATTGCTCTAATCTAAAAAGTCCGTGAACCCTCATAGACCAAAATGAGCAAACATTTAAAAACCTATTTTAAAAATAGGTAACTGGTTTAAAAAGAAAAAACAAAAATGCATCGGGGTGAGGTAGTAGTCACAGTGCATCCAGAAATATCAACTATAAGGGCTGAAGGGAAATACTTGGAGCAGCCTTTCTGATTCCAGGTGCTTTCTGGGGGTAGCTATTGCAAGGTACGAGAAGGCAGTCCGACTAGTACACGCGACACCACATTCCAATCTAGAGCTAGATCACTGGAAAAGAGCGGCTGCAATGAATCCATAACATCTACTGCAATAACCAGAGACGTTACATGCTTGTTCCTGCGCTCGATGGAGTATATGCGCTCGGAGCTAGATTGTAGGTTTAAGGGCAGCACCCACTTAAATGTACTGTGCATGAACTTGCCCCTCTCTCCATATTGTTTCAATCCCTACAAGCTTTGACTGAATGTCCAAAAATTTAAGAAATGATACTGTGCAAAACCATACACGACTTCCCCTTTACACCAAACGCAGTCACCTGCCCTGCCAACGAGCCACAAAGGTATGGCCCTAACAGCAGAAGTCCTGTCTGTCTTGCTAAGGATTGAGCTAAACGCCCCAAAACCGAGTTGCTGCACTCCGAGCTCAAACACCGACCACCGCCTTCGACGTGCAGTGTACGGCTGCCTGCACAACACAACACTCAGAGGGTATGGGTACCTGCTGCCGGTCTCCTTTTCTTCCTTCAATTCGTAGTCCTGCTGGTTAATAGCTAGCCACCTACGCATCTGTATGCTGGTCTTCTCAGAGCTCTAACTCAGCAGGCAACTTGAGTTTTAAAAGCACTTCGCTCTTCGGTGATCACTGAGAGTTTGACCAGTTCAGTTAGGTATCGCTAAGTTTCTTACCCTGCCTAGTACCTCTCCAAATGATAATTTCACAAAGTTCATCATAACAAGTTCTACAAGAGTCAAGGCCAGCTAAAAGGAATAGAAAATATTTTTTTCTCAGCTAAGCATAATTACTGTTTAATGCTAAGATACCTACAAGTATATCCATATTCTGTGATGGGGGAACCTTTTAAAAAACAATAAACAAGACGTTACAGGAAGGGGTGTCTTGTCGAAATGAACGCTGCCTCTGGGACTGGGAATGGGAAAAGGCAACTAATTACATTCAAAATCTACAGCGACTCATGCATTCCCTTTCCAAAGAGGCTTACTTTTTGCTTCTTCATATACTAGCATGGCAAAAAATGAAGTGCAATAGCTAATTCTAGACAGAAGGTCTAAGAACGAAAACATGACAACCTTGGTGCAATCCAAGAAATTCAGTTGAGCTGGTGGAAGAATTTTATCTAAGTATCAAGTGCATTTTTTTTTTTTGCTGTTCACACTTTAGTTATTGCTCAATAACTATCAAAAAGAACAGAGGAATACTTTCATTTTAGTTTTATTATATTATAACAGATCTGCAACTACAGCTTATTTCAGCCAAAACATTTTTGTATTCCAAACTCTTAAAAAATATCTACATTAATCATATTTTTCTATTCTTAAAAATAAAAAGAAAAATCTACCTAGCATACCAATGCTGCTACAGCACTTGAAAGGGTGCATTACTTATGTAAATTCTACGGTAAATGTAATTACTCTTGCAGTCATTGTTCTTCCTTTTCTTCTTCTCTGCTGCTTTGGCTTCAGGTTTCAAAAAGTTTGTTAAAAGCCGTTCCAACTTCTGAAACCATGTCAGAGGCAGTCATTGAACGTCCGAATTTTTGAAAGGCTTGGTGGTTAGACTGCCTCGTAAGAGAGCAAGCTCCAAATGCAGCCACTAGAAAGGGATTTTGACTAAAAGGAAAAAAAAAAAAACAAACCAACATTACAAACAAAATCTGAACACTCTTGTGTAACTCATAAGGTGGTGGACATAATCTTTGTACCCATAAATGTTTGTCAGCATTGTTGGGAAGGCCTCTTAAGCCAACATCTGTGTTTCTCAGACACTTGCACTGCAGAGCACCTTTGGCTGAATTTTTTTTTTTAACAAACACTTCCCTTCCCATGGCACGGCATGTGACTGAGAAACAGCACCAGGGCCGAAGGACGCAAAAGGAAAACATGCTTTAAAAAGTGGGTAAGAAGGTGTTCCATGTCTAGTTTTACCGATGTGAAACTTCATCCGTTCCTTCAGAGGAAGGCTGAAGTCTCACCTGGCAGCCTTTTAACTCCCTTTCCTCCCCGCTCGCTGGGTAACTCAGTTTAGTTTTGTGTTGCAGGGGGTGGGGGAAGGACGTGGGGATGCGGACGAGGTGATTTTTAACAGGGCCACAGTCACTGCTCCATCAGCTTAAAAGGGGTACAGTGACAGCTGTAGACCACAACAGAAATGAAGGCACGCTCTCTTAATGCCTCCTACATGCTTACGAACTGCCTGAGAGAGCGTGCCCAGCCCCAGTCCTCGAGTGCTGAACCTCTCCCGGAGAAGGCAGCCCAGCCCTGCCACCTCCAGAGCACCTTCGCACAGGCTGGGCCGCGGGAGCTGCTTCCCCTGCCTTACAGCACCAGAGCAGAGGAAAACAACAGCGGAGCAATTCCGTAGCCAGCCCTGGGCTCCAGCTGCCGCCTGGTTAAAAACCTCACAAAGCTCAGCCACGGCTGGGACGTAGCTGCCTGTAAGTCACTAAGGACCTACCGACTCCTGTGCCAAGTAAGAGTTTTGTGAAAGACAGTGATATAAAAACACAGGCAAAGCAGAACGTGAGTTTACAATTAGGGGTTACCAGGGCAGCTTTAAGTATCTTTTCCTTGACAACAGCAAATTCATACACCCATCAAGGTGCAGGAGTGAGTATTTAAGCCATCTTGAGAGTCAATCCTGGATGCCCAAATACTGTTCTGAAACAAGAGCCATGCACAGGCGTTGGGGCTCAGGACAGCTAGAGCACCTATTTCTAAGGCTACTGCTTGATACACACCATACTCCCAAGACATCACCTTAGCATCCTGTCTACTTAACAGGAGAATCCTACCTACTATACTCTTAGCACCCCTGAAAGCCAGTGCAGTCTTAATGTTTCAAAATCCTGCTCTGCACAGACCCGTTTTGAAGCAACAGAGCCAGGCACAAGCGTGGAAGGACTGGCTGGACTGCCTGCAGTGCGGTCTACAAGCTGATGCCCCGATTCACTGAACCCAAAAAGCTCCTCCTTTCCTGAAACACAGGAGATACACAGGATTGGTACAGCAGGTGTTCGAGAAGGGTCACCTTAACACCACCACAGGAGACACAATGTACTGCTGATGCCAATTATACTCTCACACTTTCCCTTCATCTGTAAAACAAAGGAGTTTCTGAGCAAGCTGTTTGGAAAAGCCACAGGAGCCCAAGTCAGGAGAGCCTGGAGAACACGTGCTGCGTTTGCTAATCTCTCCAACAATTTGATACTGATCTGTTGTACACCATGCAAAAATGAAGTCACCCTTTTAATGAAGTAAACCAAAATTCCTCCTTTAGGGGCAGCTGCAACTTCAGGTACACAATCAATCTTGGTTCCGTTTTTCATTCTGGGTATGTTAGATTTCAGAATTTCAGTCTGGTTCAACTGGTCCCTCATTCCTCCTGGGGGACCTAGTGCAGTGCTCTCACAGTAACACAAGCACAAGCGTGTAGCACCCAAAAGACTACAAAAGATCTCCACTCCTCAAGCTTCGACAACTCACTACTTACTGGGAAGAGGGACTGTTACCCCCTAACTGCTTGTGTCAGGGTTCCTTTCAATGGTATTTAAAGCAGCTACTTTCACAGAAAGACTACATGACTGTACGGACCAAGTAGTCTGACAGGAATTGACATAATTTAAACACAAGAACCAACAGCCAGCTGCATGGCTGCTTTATGTATGGCCAAACTGGTCTGCCATTTGCCCTTAAAATGGTTACCCTCTTTGAAACTGTATTTTATTTGCAAGTTTCAACTTACCTGCCCCACTGAATTACTTAGGTACAATGCAAGAGGATTCACCAAATTACAAAACCAAAGCTAAACGACACGTGTTTTGAATTATAGAAATGTTACTGCCAGTGACTACCACTTACTTACTCTTCTTACTTTCTGCCTACACTCACCTGTTTTGAAAACACACACCCCATACATGTATGTCCTTGGGAACTGATTCAGGTTCACGCTCTTCTTCTGCCTCAAACTTGGGAGATGTTAGATTACTGAAGAGTTTGTCTTATTAAAATTGTAACTATTATGTAGACTGCTCTAGAACACCTTGCATTTTTTAAAAGTACATGGATCCCTTAGTCCCAACGACTCCAATTTCATTTAAAAATTTCTATGGCAGGTCTACAACAGTTGCCATAGGAGAACACAGACTCACAAGAATTAAGAAGTTATTAGATTAATATTCATACCCATTTGTTTTTTCTGCTCCGGCAAGAAATGCCCAGTGCGCTAAGACTCCAAGAGAACCAGAAAGGAGGTCCCCCTGTCCACCACATCTCCGGCTGCTTCCTTCGTGACTGCACACAAGTACTATGAACAGACAAACCAAAAACAAAGTCATGTGCGTTTTTCTTCTATTTACAATGATATCACTGTAGCTGTGAGGGTTAACCTCTGAGACACACAGCGATTAACAGATGAGAGATTAATCACGGGCAGCAGCATATGCTGAAATACGCTATTCTTAAAAAAAAATTACTGCATTAGCATTTTAAAAATACTTTTATAATTACTTTTCAATCCTTTACAAATAACATCACACAATGTATATACTTTCTCCATTTCACTCAGCCTGCACAGAAGATTCAGTCACTAATGAGTTTAGTGATTCATGTGAACTGATGCTGCCATGATGAGCCATCATCCCAAAACGGACCAGGTCCCCCCACAAAGCCATTGCACAAATGCAGCTCTGCAGAGTCTCTGACCTTCAGAGTTTACAAATGTAAACCAAGGTGTTTTACAGCAAGCAAATGCAAAATAGAACTAAAACCTCAAATCTTCTACCATGCCCATCAGAAAGATACTTTACTGAAAAAGCCTTTTCCTTAGGCTTTGTAAAAACCGTATGCAAAGAGAGATGGCTTTTTCTGCCCATCTACAGGGTCCTCAGCATCTGCGTATGTTTCTGTCAGCAGTGTCACTGTGGGTAGGCTCTGTCAGAATATCAGATGTTACAGTTCTATTTTAAATATACAAAGGACACTGGTCAAACTTATCTCTTTGTGGAGCTTTAACTATGAAGAACATGCAAATGGTTTCACTAAATTTAACTCCTTTGTTCTCCACACTCAACAAGCCCAGGCAGGAAGCCTGAAGGATACATTAAGGCACACAAAAAGAAAACAGCATCAATTCTGCTGCCCTTCTCCAAACTCTCTTGTGGGTAAGCATCTATCTTTAGCTCTCCTTCTTGCTAGGCTCTGAAAAAAACCCAGGAGAAATTTGTTTTCCTCTCCCAGGAGAACGGAAGACCTGGCAGAATCATCGGTGGCCAAGCAGCGATCCTTAGCCTCTCCAGTCAGCTACCGCAGAGCTACTCAGGTTCAGGACCGTGCACACAATCGTTTGTGCGCTCCTGAGCGTGCCAACTACACAAGCCAAGTATAAAGCAAGACACTGCTTGGACAACAGCTCTCACCTCCATTTTCTCAAGTCACCTGGGCTGGGTTTCTCCAAGGTGTACAAACAGAGCAGCCCAGGTGTTTTAGAGGGAGTACTATCCATATTTTTAAAAGGAATTTTTCTCTTACAAAATAACAAGAAAAACCTGCACAAAATTGAAGTACTTGCAGGTAAATCTTCTTAAATAGCAAGAGGTAAAAAACTACTTAACAAGCAAGTAAACCCTTTCCAGGTCATTAGCATAGTTCATTTCTGCTTTTTGTGACTTGGTGCAGCAAAGAATTGTACTTCACTTCCATTTCCTACTGATTCTTCCAGCAGTAATTGCTGGGCTCGTGAGGCCAGGCAGTTGTGCATTTTTGCTGCCACTGAGAGGGCAAAGATTCATTAGTCACCATGAACACAGGAGACACCGCTGCAGCGTTGCCAGCAGTTAATTTTCCCAATCACTCTTCTCCCCTTCCCCCCTCCCCCCCAAATTAAGATTCTGGACGTGTTTCTCAGTGAGCAGTAGTTAATGTCAAATTTCACAAGTGTAATGCTTTTCTGAGTTAGCTATTTGAAGAAGGTACGCCCTTTTAGGTGCCGTGGTTTCTTTATTTTTTTTAAAAAATACAGTGCTTTGGAGAAATTACCTCTAATTCTGCTACTTTGAAGATGGTATCTCACAGGATTTTCACTTTGAGGGCTTGAACTCCTGGCAGGAGGCAGGATGGAAATCCTCTGTTCAAAAGCTTTGGGGCCTTCTGACTGACAGCTGAGCACAAGCCCCTGCTTATTAGCTGTATGTCACCATCTGCCACTATTCTGTAGCCCCACAACCTTCCAGTCAGTTTTGAGCTGTACAGGAAAGCAAGATCTCCTCAAACTAGGCCAATTATAATACCCCGCTACCAAAAAAAAAAAAAAAAAAAAGTAGTCTTTTGTATGTAGTTTTTTAAAAAGTATATCTCAAATACATGCAGACTATCTCACAAGCAACAACAAAAGTAGACCTTTGTACTCTGCACAGAGATGCTGGAAAACAAATCCACGCAATAGCTTGAAAGAAGCAGAACTACAGGAAATTCACTTGAATGAGAGGGGAAAGGTATAATGCTCTGGCAATTCTTGCGCAGAGGCTCAGTTCCTCAAAGAATATCTCAAAATAAAAGGATGAGTAACATTACAACAGGCCATGGGAAAAGGAATGAAAAACTCCTCTGAAGTATAGTCACTGTTAAGAGCTTTTAAAATAAAAGAAGGAATCCCACACTACCATCAAGACAAACTGGCATACTGCCAAATCCACAAAGGACAAAATCTTCCTGATGCTTTTCCCAGCCTTCGCCTAGAACAACAAAAATAAAACTGCTGCCTTCCCACTAAATGTCTGTGATCCACTGGCCAGCTCAAGCAGTTCTTTAAGGGCCACGGGGGATGACATCCTTATATGCTGCACTGAGCAGTGACAACCAGTGGCAACGCTACAAGACCTCGATTAGATGGACGTGACTGAATAGTCAGCGACGATGCCAAGAAGGCAGGCAGCTCTATTCCCTGGAGAAATACAGAACGATGTATTTACATGAGGATGAAGTATTTTTTGGTCCATTGCCCAGTGAGGCTATACCATGTTCAACTAGGGATGAACATGTGCATCAGAAAGCCTACAAAACGTGGTTCTTCCAGTCTGGAATAGCTGAGGAGACCAAGACGACTGGATGCTGGACAACAGGGAAACTGTAAAGCCTGAAATCACCACAATGTGTCAAGGTTGAAAGGTAGCAACCGGGGCCACTTAAGGTCAATTAGTCTGACACCAGTCCCAATCACAATAATGGAGAGGTTCATCTACAGTTCAACTGACAGACCTTAAGAGATAGAAACACACAACCAATGCTGGTCAAATTGACTGCTGGGACAGGGTGTCTTGTTTTGGTTTTTAATAGGTCTGGGCTACCAAATGTGATGTCATTATTTCACAGGGCGATGAGTCGAAAAAATAACTCAGTATAATTAATAGACAGTCTTTTAATGAAAACTGATTTATGCCAAGCAGCTTTCTGAAAAAAACCCTACTCCCTAGCACTTACCCACGGAGCATACATACACTATTGTAAGTAAAGGCTAGATGAAATAAAAATGTCATCATTGAAGAAATCGCTGGATGAAGTATGGCAAGGAGATCTGCTGAAGTCAGAACAACCACAGCCCTATTCAACGGTTTCAACATAATCTCAGCAATTAAACAGCGCATAAATATTGCCAGAACTGTACACAGCAAATACGTGTCCCTCACATATAGTCACCCAGATTTCTTGCTTACCTAAATCCATCAAAACAGTTTGTAGGGAAATATGAGTGCAACAGAAACAAACAAAACAAACAAACAAACAAAAGGTGGCTGTCATACTGACAGAATATTGGAAAGTAGAAATTCAAGAGTTTTAGGCTCCACAAAATTCAAAATTCTGCCCAGACTTCCTGGGTAACTATGGCCAAGTCATTTAATAGCTCTATGCTTAATATATTTCGGGCCAGAAAACAACTTATGATCACTCACTTTTCAGCACTCCTTGAAGATAAGATAAACATTAGCATTTGGGGAAGCATTCAGACCATGGTGTCACGCTTAACTATACCATTGCCAGGAAGTTTTAAGCTGAAGGAACTCCCAGCCCAAACTGTGCTGGCAGATCAAAGTCCAGAAGAATGACCCCTTTACAGGTATTGTATGCTTAATTAAAAAACCCCAGCCTGTTATGTAACTGAAAATAGCTGCCCTCTCTTGGAAGGAAAAAAATTAGAATTTAGTAGTTTTGCTGAGATCAAGCACTATGAGTTAACTGGAAACAACAGATTTTGATATGGCTGTGCACAGGCAGCCCTACTTACAACACCAGCTCCTAGACACATTACAGTTAGAAAACCAAAGGCCCATGTAGTATAAAAAGTAATGTATGTCTGTGTGTTCTTGATTTGCAACATACATAGTAGTGAGAAAAAAAATTAATTTTTTATGTTTTTGTTTAGAACACAGAATGTGAAATATGGGATAGCTGAAGGTTAAACACGTAATACTGATGATGATGATAAAGAGGGCTAAAGAGGCTATGTGAAACATCACACTTACTAAGGCTGCAGATCAAAAGACAGCTTGGAGATTAAAATTTAATTCTTGAATCTCAGATGTCCTGAACAAGTTCTCTGCACTCGTCTTCCTCTTACAAAGCAGGAGTATTACACTTACCCTAATGTGCTCAAGGATCTGTGCATGAAAAGTATGGCCATTCTGACTCCTGATATGATCCAACTGGATTAGATCAGCTAACATCAGGTACCCCACAGAACAACAAATACTCTCGTTTAATTAAAAGGCTTAAGATTTCCATTTTCTGTGCAAAATAATACGGCTGTCAAGGACCATTTTGCACCATCAAATGCAAGATTCAGGTTTAGGCCATTATCAGATCTGGAGTAGAATCTTTTTTCTCTGACCTGGCCAGTATTCATACTAGTAAGAAATTTTGTCTTTTTCCTTTTGCAAGTTAGTTTACAAAAGCACATAGCTGGAGATTGCAGACTCCCAGAAACATGTCCCAGAGTGCATACAGACAGGGAAACTAGTGTTGATGACTTGGGCTGGAGAAATCACTCAACTGATGTGGAAAACGTAAGTTGGCTTTTATATAAAGAGTGCTTATACTTTTATATTCCCTAATCACACTTTTAAAACTTAGATAGGTCCTTGAGTATGAGACACTAGGCAATTTAAGTTAAAAGAAAATAATCCAAATTTTATATTACATTTCTCGGATAGGTGCAGCAGCCAGGGGACAGCTGTGATGCCAGGAGCAGTGCCAGGGAGGCAGCAGGCTGGGCTGCGCGTGCAATGGAGAGGACAGCGGCACAGCAGACAGGAACCATGACCTCCCTCTTCTGCTCACTCTCCAGAAGCAGGAGTAGAGATGAAGGTGCTGCCTCTCAGTTAAAATCTTGGCAAAATTTGCTGGGCAGCTGGACACCCAAAGAGCTTTTAGCTAAGTGAGCTAGGGACTAACAAGCACTGAACAGCTTCCTTTCCGGCTGTATAGGGAACGAATGGCAGAAATTAGAAGTACTGCTTGGGAATTTAGGGCAAGAGCTGACTTTTTACCCCATATTCAGTACTCAGTAATTCCTCTCACATGCTGCTTTGCTTCTCTTGTCCATAGCTGCAACCGGGGAACTGGAGAGAAATGATGTTTGGCTGCTGGCTCCAGGTAAAAGTAGTCACAGGCAGCAGCGGGCTGGTTACCCATAAAGTCTGCCTTTTGGAGGGGAGGAGAGGACAAACACAGGTACTGGGGAAAATACAAAAAACCTCATCATAACATTAAAAAAAAAAAAACCAAATCCTCTACTTCAAGGACCTAACCAAATTTTAAACATGTTAGGAACTAAGACTGGTATAACCACACTTTATTATTGACCAGTTCTCCAAAGAGTAATAAAAAGAAAACCTTAGAGAGCTGTGCCATAGTGAATAAAAGCTGACTTACCTTTTACCCACAGGCTGAGTACTCATTCCTACCCTGGTCAGTGATGGCACTGATAGCACCTACCAAGAGCATGGTGAAGCTCATCTTTGTAGAGCAGGGAATCAACAACTGTAGACCAAGCTATAATGTGAAATTGCAAAAGGAAAGAGAAAAAGAGTATATAAAACTTAATTTTAAATCTTGGTGATTACGTTTACAGGGCAGTTGGCAGCTCATAACTGAAATGGAGACAAATTTTGGAAAAATCTCCTTTATAGTGGAGGACTGCTACTGATTTCACAGAGGCCATGTACGTGATTCAGTACTGATTTTAAGGCCATAAGGAACCACCTGCCCCATCTAATCTGATCCGTAAAAACAGACCTCGAAGGTGTCCAGACACTTCACAGTTTGGGAATCTATCAAAGTTCTAGGTATGTTATTGTCATAGCTAATTTCTTTGTCTGTTAATAAAATCTGCCTTACTTTTAATCTGAGTTTATTAGGCTTCAGCTTCAATCAGAATTTATTGTGTCTGTCTACTTACACTACAGAGCTATCTGCTGTCAGTAATCCTTCACCAACACCTGTACCTCCAGCTCACTCTCAAATCACTTGATAACCTTTTTCATCTTCAGCTAACAGAAGTAAATTGTCTACTGAATTTCCTACAGACGCATGAATAAAAGTATTGTGGAAACAACCACTACAATCACTCTAAGCTATAAAGTATTTGCCAAGCCAGTCTTCCCTGCTGCAAATTCAGCATCCTCAAAAAGCCTTCCTTCCACAACAGCCAAGCACAGAACACTAAAGCTACATCGTTAAATTTGCGATTTCTGTTTTTCCTGGAGGGCATTGAGACTTACTTTTTTTTCAGAAAGCATGCATGCAGTATACTCCCAAAGGAGAAAGCTTAAAAGTGATATATGGAAACTACAGTATCAGTGTGCTAAGCACATTTCAAGCAGGAAATGCCTGGAAATAGGTACGGCTTAAGCAGTATGAATGGATGATGACATGAAAAATAAAACGCAAGAGGAGTACACAGATCTTTTCATAATATTTGATTGTGTTCAGAGGACATAGGCCTAAACCAATGATCTGGATTTCCCTCACACTGGAATCATCCTGTATGTTGTCTCAGCTGCAAAAAAATGACATCAGATCAAAAGAACAGACAGATGAAAAAAGCAGAAGTTAAGAGCAAAAAACCTGGGAGAGAATTCAAGGCCAGTGACATGACAACATGTTCTGTGTTGTGGCACAGAGCAGAGAGTAAGTCTCCTCTCTCAACGTAATTTTGCATTTGAGAAGCTTTTTAAAAAATTGACTGACAGTAACTCCCAGACCCAAAGACTGTTCTTGTTAAAAGGAAGCTGAAGTCTATAGTTTCTGCAAAATTTGCAGGAACCTTCTTGCAGGCAACACGAACCCTAAAAACAGTGTTTGTAACAGACATTATAACCTGTATTAAACCTGACAACTGCTTTCTTACAGCTTAGCAATGCTGCCTGTAATGTCTGTAATCCAGGAGAGAGAAAGCATCAGTGATAGAACCAAGGTAATAACAAGAAAGCAGCCTATAGCTGGACACCAAACAACTGCTATACAGGCAAAGAACTGTTTTTATTTCAAATCAAAAAGCCACTTAACTAAGAGAAAAAAAATATCAGAACACAACAGAGACAAAGAACAAGGGGAGGGGGGGAATAAAAGCAATGAAAAGCCCCAAAAGCACGCAAGACATACATCAAACTTGTGTCACACCTGAACATTCAAAATTGAAACTGGAAAGAGTTTCAGTTGTTTCCTGGTTTTTTGAATCCTGCATGACAAGAGACAATGGAGACTGAGTGTCCCCTCTCTCCAGCAATAATGGGGGTACACTTATCTCAAGAATAACAGCTCAAAAGGAGAACAGAGATATACTAGGTAATGTGCTCAATCTAAAGCGCTCACACAGTTTTCCCGACATGCATTAAAAAAGCAACAATCCTGCATAAAAAGAACATGGTTGACACAAAAACAGAGAAAGAAGATACACTACAGTGCTCTAAAGCTCTCTAGCTGACAAACTGGAGCCAGGATATTTTATCCTCTGGCAGAGTTCGTTCTCCCTTAAGCCTGGCCTGATTGTCCAAGGTTACCGATCAAGTCTGCTATGGGTGCAAATACAACAGCAGACTTCATGCAGGGCAACTTGGGTACTATATGACCGACCAAAGTCCTTCACCGCATCGGCATAACTGTATTGCTTCCAGATCCCAGCTTGCTTCACACTCTGCTATAAGTATCTGTACTAATGGGGGTATGTGGAAGGTGGCCCTGCACAAACCAGTTGTCATATTACATCTGTTTTTCTGTTACAAAAGACTCCCATGGCTCCCAATAATGAAAAATTGACTGTATATACAAAATGGTTCTGAAGCGGCATAAACATTTATCAGAGATTAGCATTTCAAGTAATTAGAGGCAGAGCTGCTGCTTGTTATGTATGTGAAATAAGACCACATAGTCAAAATGCAATGAAGCTACTCATGAATTAATTTTATACTGATCACAGTAAATGATCAGTATAAAAAGCATCAGACAGGCAGCTAATTTTATTAAATATACTTTAACCATATTAGTAAGTGACTGGTTTAAAAAGTTGTAATGACAATCTCGAGTTAATTTGTTGTTTGGTTTTGTTTTTTTTTTTAAATTGTCAGGGCTAATGTACAAGTTATATTATGTACATGCTAATCTACAGCATGGTGGACAGTATCAAGGAACCGAGTAGCTCATGAACCCCACGATGTCTTCTTTTTTCAGACACACCAATATATGGTGAAACAGCAATATTATCCTGCATTAATTTAGCAATGACATCTGCACTTATATAGACCATCTCAGCTAAGGATTTTAAAACAGTTCACAAAGAATAAAAAAATTAATTTCTCAATACCTGTGTAATGTAAAACACGTTATCGCCATTTAAATCAGAAATAAAATCAGCAACTTTTTTCAAATAAATTAAGTTGCACTCTTTTAAAATATGAATTTACACAAATCATCTAAAGGTGATCTGCAAAGACAGCCATCCCTCCCCTTCAATCTTCAGGGGAATACAGTCAACCAGTTACTATATATAGTCTAACCACTCGACTACGACTGAAAGCAAACAAACAACAACAAAAAAAATCACATTGCTAAAAGCAAAAGGCTTCACTTACCTTTCTCTCCATCTGAAATAAGATCTCTTTCTCCCTTTTGAACAACTGTCAAATTCCCCATGGCTTGGCTGAGTCTTAATACACATCCATGATGATCACTACTGTCTACGGGGTCTCTAAGCTACAACACAAGAATTCCATATACAGTACATATTTTGCTACTAGAACAATATCTCTAACACATGCTACTTCAGCATATGTATGGGGGGGTGGGAATCATCATCATCAGTCTTTTCAAATATTTTTATTCTATAGCCGCTCCAGTGCCAAAAAATGCATAAGAAAGAGTCTTTTTTAAAGAAAGAGCTCTGTTTAAGAATATGCATTGATGTGGCAATTATCCCATGAAATAAAAACCCAGAAGGATGCTTCTCTCGCATGTAAGAAACAGCACATAATGTTTAACCCAGTAATAAGTTGTTTATTTTCAAAGACTAAAAGACTAAACTTACACGTACTTAAATATCAAAAAGGAAAACAGCTCACCATGGCTTCATACAGTCTACTAAACTCCATATAATTTGGAGTAAGAATAGCTCGCTGGTAGCCTTGAATAAGAGAAGGCTGCTGGGAAATGAGCCACAGTCCATCCTGCAAAAAATCCAGTAAGAACAACATTTACTGAATAGATTCTTAAATGTCAAGCCATTGACTGAATCTAGAAAATACTTACAGCGTCAATAATGATAGGAATTCCTTTGACTTTTGCTTTTTCTATAATACCCTGCAAAAAAATGCAGATAACTTTAAGATGCTTGCCAATTTAAATTGTTTAAGATCTGAAACAAATTCATATAATAAATCTGTTCATATAAGTTGTTTTTTACAAAATAAGATACAAAAAATCTGTTATATTCTGCAAAGTAAGACATTTTTGTATCAACCCAGTAATTTTACAGTTACATTGTTCTCTCCCTGGTTCAAGTATAAGCAGTGCCAACAGGGTTTCCATAACTGATGCCTTGGTGTTCATAATCAAACAAGCAAGCAATCTCACTCACTTTCCCTGCTGCAGGAGGCATGCAATGCCAACACAAGTCACACATACTAAACATATATCCCCAATTAAAAAAAAAAAAAAACCAAAATCCAAATGAGTATTGCCATGATAGAAATCTACCAATAACTATAACACTAATTTTTAGTTGCTTTTCTGATGATAGCCCCACTGCGGTATTTGAATTTATGTACAAACAAACATCCTGAGACAAGCAGTATGTAAAACATGTCATTTCACTCGTGGTCCTGGAGGTTTTATACCTTCAAAGCAAAACCAAGGCAGCCCAGACAACAGACCACTTGCAAAAGTCCTTTTCAGCCAGCAGACCATCTGCCCTTGTTCTCTCTCCCAACCGAGCAGTGGCCACGAATCATACTCAAGCTTTTTTAATAAGCAATGGCTGACAGTCAATTTTTTTGCATGTTGGTCATTACCAACTTGTCTTTGAAGTTGGGAAGTTTTATCTTTTTCCTATTTAAGATAACAGAGGATGGCATCCATCCAAAAGTCTAATTATTTTTGAACGTTATTAAGCTCTTCAGATTAGCTATCATACGGCACTGAGCTCCACAGGTTAGCAAGACATTACGTAAGGAATAAGGAAGCAGTTTTTAATTAATTTTCAGGGTACTGAACATACCTCTGTTCTTGTATTGTGGTCAAAATAAACACCACCCACCTTGCTTCCTGTAAATTATTAATTATGGCATATACATATCCTCCCCAACTCATTCTTATCCAATTCTGATTTCTTCCAATACCAGTAGAACTCTTTCCCTTCTATTTTTAAATGGATGACCAGAACTTAGCAGCATGCTTCAACCCAACACTACTTTTGTTTGTTTGGGTACTGGCTGCATGCTGTAAGTGTGAGACTGAAACACCACCCACTGCTCCAAGCCTGAGGACTTGTCTCAACACACAGCTGCAGCTACCTTAGAAGCCCCTACAGAATAAAAACCTTTCCATGACATACACATGCTTGCACAGGTCTCAGCTTAGGCTATGTGTCACAGCCTGCCAGGTGCCCACCCTTGTCAGGATCCCAAGGGAACACCACAAGTCTTCTCTTATATTCAACTACTTAAATAATTTTGAACCAATCGCAAGTTTTACACAACTCATACCATTCAGCTACGACTAAATTTATTAATAAGTATATTTAACAGCTGTGCAAGGATGGAATCTTAAAACATACCTAGAATCAGTTGTGGCATACTGAAAACCAGAGAGCCTTACTTTCAAAGCTTTTAAGAAATTTATGAGACAGTCATTTCTTTATTCGTTAATGTTAATCTGCACAGATGTGCACAGCTCAGTTTTCCTTCACAGAAGCTGTATTGCTTTGTCCCTGCTGTGTTAAGTTCATTAACAATTATGTTTAATTTGACTCACTTGGTTATAATAAAATAAGGCTATGGATCTAACAACCAGGTTTATGGGGTTATTTTTTCTGTATAAATGAATGCTATACATCCAACAGTCCAATTATTTTTTAACCATACTAAGCTCTTCTGATAAGACATCATATGGCACTGAGCCCCAGAGGTTAGCAAGATATTATGTAAGAAAGCATTCAGATTATCCTCCCCCAATTTTTGAAGATACAAATACCATTTACTGCAACCTCGTTTTCTAACTGGTTTTAATTAGAATATTTTTGTACATTAGCAGCTTCACCAAACTCCTTCAGTACAGTTAAAGTGATTACTGCTCCACTTCCCACTAACATGAATCACCAGTTTATTCTAGTATGTCAACTTCAGTAAGCCAGTCTTTCACGACACTTCATTTTTTAAAACCAAAAAATATTTCCCCAACAGATTCCGTAAGGAAGTCTGAAGGAAGACACCAGATCTCAGAAGTCCTTATCCTTCCAAACTATTCTCTTAAATTCATTATGAGCAATCCACGGAACTAATTTTGCCCAAGTTGTGTTCCTGAAACAGTTAAGGTTTAGCTGCTGCTGCTATTGTTTGGCCCCTTTTCATGTTTCCTCATAACTGTCATCTTGACTACTAGTTAGAATTTCTACTTTTGTCTAAACATGTATCTAACAACAGGCTAAGTCAAGAATCCTGAAGATCCATTGTCCACCAAAAGAATGTAAGTATAAGAAAAAAAAAAAAAAACAACCAAACCCAAAACCATGGAAGTTACAAAGCATGAAAGTATACGTACAGGTAAATAGCTTCTGGAAGGCTGGGTCACTGGTACACTCCAGAGAAATAAGACATTTCTTTCTAATAACATTTTGAGTTCCTACCTCTCCAGCATGTCCTCCACAATCCTGAGACATTTGACCTCTGCTCTAAAGAGAAATTTCATCTTGCTAAGTAAAACCTACTGGCCAAGCAACTTTTATTGTGTACCGAGTCTCCGAGGTATCAGTTTCTACTCTAACATACTGAGTGATTTTTGCTTTTTCTTTCTCTCCTTATAAAACAAATAATCAGGGGATACAAAGTCCTTTGTCTTATTTAGAAAGCTCATTTTTGATTAAAAAAAAAAAACACCAAAACACCCAAATAAAAAACTACCCTCATTATTTTCCTTTTTTCTTCCTTCCTTAGACACAGACAGAAACTGCTTGGAGACAGATGAGGAACCTCAGAGAGGAAATTCTGGGGAAGCAGTAACAGAGATAAGAGAACCCTCTGTAAGACCTGTTTAAAGGACACAACATTCATTGGAGAACCTCTGTTTCCTATCGATTGTGGACAGGACCCACCTCACCTGCTGCCATGTAAAGGTCAAATGGCTCACCACTGGAGAGCAATTCATCCCATGCAGCATAGACACTGCATTTAGGGTGGGATGAATCACCAACAGACATACCTGTGTCTCCTCAGCTGTCACAGAGGGAGCAGAGACACTTTACTGCTTTATTTTTAAACACCAAGAATTAGGTGAGATGAAGCCCACTTTTCCACACTCTATTACTGCAGATACTGCATAAAAACCTATTTGCTTAAGAGCAGCAACATACTCTATGCAGAGTATTTTGTTCCTGGAAGCAAAAATAATTTTTCAGCTGAATCTGTATCCCTATATTTGGCATGGACTTTCCTGGTTTAATACTTGTAGCATAGACAAGAACCTTCACTGTTAATTGCACAATTAATACAGCTCAGACTAACTTTACTTTCACACCAAAACCTATTTAACGGTTTCTGATAGGACTCAATGTATGAGCAGGAACCATCTGTTCAGTTTTATCCCATGTAACAATTATTTATATGGGCAAGGATTTAGAAGAGAACACTGCTAATTAAAAATACTAAGAAATGTTACTAAGACCAGACCTGAAATCCAAACACCAATCACACAAGTAAACAGCATCACATACAGGTATCAATGACAAAACCAAGACATTGCCCCTTCCCTTCAAATAACACTTTGACTATTAAGATTTTGGAGATTCTAGCTCCAAGATATCCCACTGGACTACCTTTCTGTGCACAGAATATATTATACCACAACAGCAGTGGTTCAGCTTGGTGCTGAACAAGGCAGGAGCACTTCCTTCACTCGATCCCTAAGCACTCAAGGACATCCAGAAATGAAGGACTGGACTCACAGGGCAACCTTGGCACTAGCCACAAGTAGAGAGGACAATGAGGAGGAGAGAGTGACCTGCTGATGTCATCCAACCTCATGACCTACAGCCACATTGGTTAGCTAAGATATCAGACTGAAATTTGGATCCTTCCTCTGTGATATTCACAGCCAGGCCCAAACTTCAATCACCTACCTTTCATGTAGAGAGTCCTAATAACAGGGATTTGGGCAGTCTCTTGCTAGAGATATTCTGCTTTGTATGAGTTAGCTAAGTACTTGGTGACTCTCCAAACAGTGATTCCACAGCCCACAACATTTGAATGAGAAAAGGGAAACAGGTTCCAGCCCGCTGTGATTAAAATCAGCAATAATGAACTGAATTACAAGACTGCAGAACTCATGCTAGAACAAATCTGTAACAAAAGCTTCCCCTCCCAATAATTGAAGACCAAAGTTTAAGTTTCTACCCTAATTAAGCCAAAGAGGAAATGACCTGGGATTCACACATCCCATGAAGGTGCTGTATGGGACAACCTCCCACACAGTTATCATTTGTTACTGGCACCAAATACTTGACATTTAGAAATGGCAAAATAATATTTCAGTGACTGCAATTTTTGGTGGAGGTGGTGGAGGGGAGGAGAGCCAGAGGGGATAAAATTAACCTGAATCTACTCCCACTCTACTCTTGAAATACACAATTTCCTGAAAAATCTTTGTTCTGTAACTGGGTATCCAGGACTTGTATGCAAGCAACCTACTCAATAAGAACTGAAAAAGAAGTTGTGTCACAGTAGAAACCAGTACTCTATCTGGGTAAAGGTAACTCTTTACTGTAATTGGGAAAATTTCCAAAGAGTGAAGTATTTATTTGTTTTAATGGATTCTTTTATTATAACAGAAGCTATTCCTTGAAATGCAATGCATTCGTTTTAGTAGAAATCTGTGTTCTCTGTCCCAGCATTCACATGGGAATTTTAAAATAGCTTCCCAAAACTAAATTCCAATCTTTTTTGGAAAGAAAAAAAACCCAACACACAAAACCCCTGACACACTGAAACCCGAACAACACACACAAAATCAGAATCATTCGGGCTGGAAAGGACTGCAGGAGGAAGAAGCCTGAAGGAACAAATGGACAGGCTACTGCTGACTGCTGAAAG